CAGAGAGACAGAGAGACAGAGAGAAAGGTCTTCCTTTGCCGTTGGTTCACCCCCAAATGGCCGCCACGGTCAACGTGCTGTGGCTGGCGTGCTGCGCCAATCTGAAACCAGGAGCCAGGTGCTTCTTCCTGGTCTCCCATGCGGGTGCAGGGCCCAAGCACTTGGGCCATCCTCCACTGCCTTCCTGGACCACAGCAGAAAGCTGGACTGGGAGAGGGGCAACCAGGACAGAATCTGGCACCCCCACCGGGACTAGAACCCGGTGTGTCGGCGCTACAGGCAGAGGATCAGCCTAGTAAGCCGCGGCGCTGGCCCCTGTTCTTACCATTTTTAACGCCTTAATAATTATTTATTCTCAAACGAAGGCCAAGTGGTTTCTGCTTCTCATCTACTTACTGCAATTTTAAATGTTAAGGGCATTAAAGACTTCCTCAAGGATAAACATGATAAGCACTTCAGTTTGCTGCTCACAACAACTTGTCAGTTCTTTCTTGGCTACAGTTTAAAGATTGGGGCCATCTCGTGGGACCAATGCCAGTCACTGACACCTGTGCAGCAGTGATAAGCACTGGCCTTAATACCCTGCCAATGACACCACACCCCATGTTTGCTGACACAGAGTGTCTTTGGCTTATAAATAATAAACTTGCTTATTTCTTGTTGTAATAGTGGTAGTGATGGGTGGCAGATGGTTGCTTTTGTTTTCTGCAAACCCTTAAGAGATTCTGAGTAGAGGAGACAGCTTAAAAATAAAGAACTTTGTCCTAACAATTGAGCCAGAATTTGACAAGGGCAAACAAATCCATGATGTGCTGACCACAAGGGTGACGTCAATTTCATGCTGCTGATATATGAAACCTTTTACAAAATTTATAACATCTTACTATGTTTTATTTAAGAATTCTTAGAAAAAAATAGATAACAGATAATATCCACACACAATGAATTTTTACTCTGTACAAAATGCTTGGACAACACTTAAGAGATTTTAAGATGCAGGGGAGAAATCAGCAGAGAAAAAAAAGTTGGATGGCAGCACAAAGAAATTAGATATCATTTTTTTAAAAAGTAGCAAAAGTCTAGAAAAAAATATGAAAGATATCTGAAACACATACATAATAGCAAAGAATCAATAACAAGAATACACAAGGAGCTCTTTAAAGATGAGGTAAATCTAGAACTTCCAAAGAGAAATAAAGTCAACATGATGTAAAGTAGGGCTAACAGAAAGGGACACTGAGAGTCCTAATGACACGGTTTTTGGCTATCAGAGCTCAGCAATGCCTGAACAGACATACTACTCAGACCTGGCATTTAGATGAGCTTCTATACTCTCTTATTTAAACTAGTCTGAACTGGGTTTCTTTCATTCATTACCAAGATAGTCCTAATTCATACAGCATACAATTTAACAATACCTATCAGTATTTTAACTTGGTATATGTATGACGGTTAATTCTAGCTTTTACTTTGCTTTATTTTGTTGAGAGGCAGAGAGAGCAGCAGACAGAGCAAAAGAGCTCCTATCAACTGGTTCACTCCACAAATGCCCACAATTGCTCAGACTGGCCCAAGGCCAAACCTGGGAGCCAGGAACTCAACCTAGGTCTCCCATGTGTGTGGCAGGAACCTGATTACTTGAGTCATCACCTCTGCCTCCCAGTGTTTGCATTAGCAGGAAGCTGGAACTGAACTGGAGATAGTCATCGAACCCAGGTACTCTGATGTGGGACACAGGTATCTTAAATGCCCACTCCTGTGATGATTAATCACCTTCACTGGATTCTCAGACAGCTTCTAAAACATTATTTCTGGGTGTATCCATGAGGATATTTACCCAAAAACTTAGCACTTGAATAAGTGGACTGAAAAAGAAAGCTTCATCCTCATCAAATGTGTGCCAGCATCCATACAATCAGTTGAGAGCCAGAAACAACAGGAAGGTGGAGGGAGAATTCTCTCTCTTCTTGAACTAGAAGATGCATCTTCTCCTGTTTCTAGATATCAAAGCTCCCAGTTTTTAGGTCTTCAGGCTCAGGGGCTCGCATCAGTGGTCTCACATAACCTACTTCTCAGGCCTTTGACCTCAGAGTTACACCACTCCCTGGTTCTCAGACCTTCGGACACAGACTGAATCATACCACCAGCTTACAAGTTCTCCATTTTTGCAAGATCACATATCCTGGGACTTCTCACCTTCCATAATCATATAAACCAATTCCCATAGTAAATATCCTTTTATTTACCTGAATACAACAGTACTTCAAAAAATTCATGGAAAAGTAATATTAAAAGACAAGTTCAAAGCAGGCATTTTGCACAACAGGGACACCTTCATCCCATATCAGAGTGCCTGGTTTGAGTCCTGGATCAGCTTCTCATTTCAGCTTCCTGATAATGCAAACCCTTGGAGGCAGTAAGTTCAAGTACTTGGGTCCCTGGCAATTATCTGGGAAGACCAGATTGAGATACAGCTCCTGGAATCAGTCTGGACCAGCTCTGGATCTTATGAGAATATAGGGAATAGGCCATCAGATGAGAGCGTTTTCCCTCCCTTCCTCCCTCCTTCCTTTCCTTTCTTAAAGATTTACTTATTTCTTTGAAAGGCAGAGGGGCTGGCACTATGGTGTAGTGGGCTAAGCCTCCAAATGCAGTGCCAGCATCCCATATGAGCGCTGTTTTGAGTTCCTGCTGCTCCTCTTCTGATCCAGCTCCCTGCTATGGCCTGGGAAAGCAGTGGAAGATGGCTCAAGTGCTTGGACCCCTGCACCCTCATGGGAGACCCAGAGGAAGCTCCTGGCTCCTGGCTTCAGATCAGCCCAGCTCTGGACATTGCAGCTCTGGACATTGCAGATGGATGACCTTTCTCTCTATCCTCCATCTCTCTCTGTAACTCTACCTCTCAAATAAAGAATAAATAAAATATTTTAAAAAATAATAAAAATAGGCTAGGCACAGGTGATATGGGGGAACTAGGCAGAGAGTTGGAATAGGAGATTTTCCCACAACTTCTATAGCCCTGTACTGTAACTCTGACCCCATGAATGACGATCCAGTACACCAACTTTCCCATTATGCACCTGCATCCTATCCAGGACTGGGAAGCAACAGACATCATCAGGGCCAGGTAGATGTTAAATACCAGGAGCTGGTGTTGTGGTGTAGTGGGTAAAGACCCAGCCTGTGATACTGGCATCCCATATGGGTGCTGGTTCTGGTCTCACCTGCTCCACATCCGATCCAGCTCCCTGTTAATGTTCCTGGGAAAAGCAGTGGAGGATGGCCCAAGTTCTTCAGTTCACCACCCACAAGCGAGACCCAAAAGAAGCTTTTGGCTTCTGGCTCCTGGCTTCAGCCTGGCCCAGCCCTGGCCATTGCAGCCATCTGGGGAATAAACCAGCAGATGGAAGGTTTTTTTCTGTCTTTCCCTCTCTTTCTCTCTTTCAAATAAATAAATAAATCTTAAAAGAAAAAGAAGTTGTTAAACTCCCTAAAAAACTTATGCACCCTAAAACCTGCCCAAACTTTACCCAATTTGTATATTCAGTTAGGGGACCACCTCCCACCCCATAAAGGTAGAGAGGCCCTTTTTAGCTTCTCTCTCCTTCTCCCAGGCAGCTCTCCTTCTCCTCACAGGCATTTTTTTGGTCCTCACATGGCAGGTATCTCTCAGAGTGCGACTGCCCACATGCACGTGTGACTGTATTCTCACTCTCATTTCTGCACTTTATTTATGCCTCTGCATTGAATTCTTATCTGATGTGGAAGTAAGGATTCTCAATAAACCAGGAAACATGCTCCCATAACACAAGAACTTCCATATAAAGGACAATGATACTGGACTGCCTCCAAGTTCCTGCTTTGTCAGGCAGAGTTACAAAGCATAATAAACTTATGCTGGCTAGATTGAGTCCAAGCCCCTCCAAGTAGAACTTGCCTCATCAGCACTTCTGCCTATCAGTTGCCTCCTACCCAAACCAAAAAGGTTTCCCCAAGATCCCCCCCTCCTTAGTCATGGAGGAAGACTTGTCATTTTTCCTGCTCCCTTACTGGCCAGTAATGAAGTTTTTCTCCTCTAAAAATCAGCATCATAGAATGTGATGGGAAGTAACAGACAGTGAATCTACATAGCTCTGTGACAATAATACTCAGAAGTCCAGCTGGTACATCATGCTGGTGTAAGCCAAGAAAGGCAATCCCCCATCTTTAATAAATATGTTGGAGGCACACATATGGCTTGGCAGTTCAGATGCTAGCTGGGATGCCCACACCTCTTACTAGAATGCCTGAATTCAAGTCCCAGCTCCTGATTCCAGCTCCCTGCTAGTGCATAACCTAGGAAGCAGCAGGTGATGGATGACCTAGTAGTTATGTATCTGCTACTCACATGGGAGACTTGGATTGGGTTCCCAGCTGCAGGCCTCTGCCTGGGCCAGCCTAAGCCATTATGCCCATTTGGGGAGTGAACCAGCAGATAAGAGCACTCTCTCTCTTTCTCTCTCTCTGCCTCTCATATAAACACAACAAATTTAATTAATAAGGCAGTTGTTTATGATTACAGGAAGGGAAACAAATACTACTGTTAATAAGTCAGTATTGGCCGGCGCTGAGGCTCACTATGCTAATCCTCCGCCTGTGGCGCCGGCATACCGGGTTCTAGTCCCGGTTGGGGCACCGGATTCTGTCCCGGTTGCTCCTCTTCCAGTCCAGCACTCTGCTGTGGCCCTGGAGTGCACTGGAGGATGGCCCAAGTGCTTGGGCCCTGCACCCGCATGGGAGACCAGGAGGAAGCACCTGGCTCCTGGTTTCAGATCAGCTTGGTGTGCCAGCCATAGCGGCCATTTGGGGAGCGAATCAACGGAAGGAAGACCTTTCTCTCTGTCTCTCTCTCACTGTCTAACTCTGCCTGTCAAAAAAAAAAAAAGTCAGTATTACCATCTTCTCATGTTTTAGTAATCCAGCTTGTTGACACAGCCTCCCATACCTTGAATTTACTTTACCTGCATGAATTAACATCTGCAAACATTCTATAGAGTTGTGATACGCTGCTTCATGAATTGGCATCCATCCCCTATTATCAGCAACATCAACACTGCGACCCTTTTTGAGCAGTTTCCTCAATACTTTAATATTGCCTTCCCTGGCAGCAAGTCCAACTGTAGAACACGTGTCCGAGTAAGCCTCTGTAAAATCCATTCTTTTGACCAGTCTGCAAAACAAGGTAGAAAGATAATACTACAGTCAATAAAATAACACTACACTCCTAGAGGTTAGTAGATCACAGTGGGACTGTCTAGCAACTCTCACATGACTGCAACAGAAGAGCCCAAAGTAGGAAAAAGTGACTGCCTTGCCACAGCCTCTGCCAGAGCCTAAAACAGGAAGTCTTTGAGTTTGACAAATTAGGACTCCTTGGAATGTTCTTATTTAAGGGAGTTTTAAGTGCTTATCTTTCATCCTCTGGAAATGTCTAATCAGCAGGCTTCTGTCCCTGTTCATATTCCTCCAAAGTGTCCTCCTTGGAGCTGGCTGATGAAAACACTAAAGGTCTCAGTTAATCCCAAAGGTACACTGTATTAGCAGAGAGAACAACTGATCTACCTGCAAGGCTCAGCCTCCAAACCACAACCTTCTATAGGTTGCTATCTACCAGCCTCCAAATCACAACCTTCTATGGGCAAAAGGTAAACCCAAAAGGCTAGAGAGAATAAAAGACAATTAACGAGAATAATAAAGCTAAGTAGTTGTTCTAGCTTTCCTGTACCTGCTGGTCCTTTCCAGAAGAGGATAAACATGCAGATTCTCCGTTCTTAATGAAATAGTCCCAATGAATGATATGCTGAAATCAAAGATTCTTTATTTCATAAAGAAATAGGCTCAGCTTTCTTCTACTAGCCCAGGAAAGTTCTTCACAGCATTGCTGCCCTCATCATCATCGCCCTTCAAAGCTATTTCAAAATTCCCTGGCAACTACAGTCCAGTATAGTTCTCACTAAATGACTCTATCATTAAGATGATTTCTTGTTACTAACACACCATGAAGCATGTTGAGCAGAGATTCAGAATTCTCATGCAAAGTTATCTCCTAAGGGGTAGTCCATCCTAGTAACACTCCCAGGTCACCCCTCTTAGTTTTTCTAATAAGCTGAGCACTGGTTCAGGAAATGCTAACATATATAGCCTAATATACCTGAAAAACATAGTCGAACCACATCCTAAGTAATTTAAAGAAAGAAAGAGAGAGAGAGAGAAGGAGGTAGGTAGGTTTAGGGGCCGGAGCAGTGGTGTAGTGGGTAAAGCTGCCACATGCAGTGCCGGTATCCCATATGGCACTGGTTCAAGTCCTAGCTGCTCCATTTCTGATCCAGGTCTCTGCTATGGCCTGGAAAAGCGGTAGAAGATGGCCCAAGTCCTTGGGCCCCTGCTCCCGCATGGGAGACCCAGAAGAAGCACCTGGCTCCTGGCTTTGAATCAGCTCAGTTCTAGCCATTGTGGCCTTTTGGGGAGTAAACCAGCAGATGGAAGAATTCTCCCCCTACCCCTACCAGCTGATGGAAGACTTCTCTCTCTGTAACTCTTTCAAGTAAATAAACAAAATCTTAAAAAAAAAAAAAAAGGGGTTTAAGGAAAGAGGTTAGAAGAAAGCATATGGCATTTCCTAAAGTAAATTTAAATTTTGCCTTGTTCGCCTTTAAATATAAAGCTGTAACTACAGAAATTGATAGCAAACCACTTAATGTTACCAATGCATTAATCTGATTGTATCAAGTAGTAGGGTAAGATAAGGCATTGATCACCAAATCTTTAATTATTCAATTAATTATTAATTATCGAGCACCAACTTAAATTATTAGCAATGGGAGTACAGAAAGATGACACAGGCTTAGATTGTGTTTTTTTTTTTTTTTTAAAGATATTTATTTACTTGGGAGTCAGAGTTACATAGAGAAGGAGAGGCAAAGAGAGACAGGTCTTCCATCCACTGGTTCACTCCCAAGATGGCCACAACAGCTGGAGCTGAGCTGATCTGAAGTCAGGAGTCAGGAGCTTCTTCCACGTCTCCCACACAGGTGCAGGGGCCCAAGGACTTGGGCCATCTTCTACTGCTTTCCCAGGCCATAGCAGAGAGCTGAATCAGAAGTGGAGCAGCCAGGTCTCAAACCGGCACCCATATGGGATGCCAGCACTACAGGCAGTTGCTTAACTCGCTACACCACAGTGCCAGCCCCAAAGCATATATTCTCTCTCAAGTTTTGTACAGTCTCACAGGAATGATAAATATATGTGATGCAAGGTGAAAAATACAAAGTTATATAAAAGAAGTACATATGAAAAGTTGCAGAAACCAAAGGAGAAACTGTTTCAGCTCAGTAAAGGAAATGAGTTGTTCGTTAAAGGGCAAGGCAGATTCAAAAATGAAACAACGGTCAGAACAGCATTCCTGGGCAGAAGGAAAGGCATAATCAAAAATATGGAGATGAAGGCAGGCCCTGTGGCAGAGAGGGTATAGCCTCAGCCTGCAGTGCCAGCATCCCATATGGGCGCCGGTTCAAGTCTCAGCTGCTCCACTTCCCTTCTCTTCTCTGCTATGGCCTGGGAAAGCAGTAGGAGGTGGCACAACCTTGGGCCCCTGTACCCACGTGGGAGACCTGGAATAAGCTCCTGGCTCCAGGCTTCAGATTGGCGCAGCTCTGACCACTGCGGTCAGTTGGGGAGTGAACCAGCGGATAGAAAACCTCTCTCTCACTGGCTCTACCTCTCTGTAACTCTATCTTTCAAATAAATAAAATAAATCTTTAGGGGGGAAAAATGTGGAGATGAACAACGAAAGGTGAGTGACAGTAAGAAAATCATTTATTTTGGAAAGAGATTTAAGTAAACAAAGAACAGAAGGAAAATGAGGTTACAGAGGTAGCTGAAGGCCAAACTGTGGAGGATCCTCAAAGCTGTTACACCTTTTGAATCCTGCTAACTTCTAGCTAAGATAATTGCACACAGGGCTGACATTGTGGCATAGTAGGTTAAGCATTCACCTGTGGTACCAGCGAACCATATGGGTGCTAGTTCAAGTCCTGGCTGCTCCACTTCTGATCCAGCTCCCTGCTAAGGACCTAAGAAAGCAGTGGAACATGGCCCAAATGTTTGGGCCCCTACACCCACATGGGAGATCTGGAAGAAGCTCCTGACTCCTGGCTTCGGGTTTGCACAGCTCGGCCATCGTGCCCGTTTGAGGAGTAAACCAGCAGATTGAAGATCTCTATCTCTTTCTTTCCCTCTGTCTGTAACTTTGTCTTCTCAACTAAAGAAATAAATCTTTAAAAAAAAAAAAAAATTGCACACAAGTTTTACAGAAGACAGGAAATTGCACACTTGATTGCAATTTATGTTTATTTAATACCTGAAAAAAATTTTTTCTGTGTAGAAAACTCACTTATACTCCCACACAAGAATACCTAAATACATTAAAAGCAGCATCCAGGCATGTTTCCCTTTTCAATTTCATGGACTTTACTCTTAGTTATAAATAATGTTCATGGATACAGGTTATTAGGTAATAGCCTGAAAAAACAAATACATAAGAACTAGTAATATCTTTGAGCTTAAAGGACAAAAGGTCCAAAGAAATGCATGTTAATGGGAAGAACATTCTCTTCAAACCATAATACCATTCAGTAAACATAAATTCCTAAGATTTCCACTTTTACAAAAACTTTCCTGTGTTCTAGACTAAAGAGGGCACAGAGTCAAACAAGAAAATTTAATAACTGGATCCTAGATTGGTACGGGACAGAGGGTGAAATCTGGATACAGAATACATATTTGATGATATAATCCACTGTTGATTTTCTCAGATGTAACAATAACATTGTGGTAGTTAAAAAAAATCCTTATTCTTCAAAGATGCATGTAGTAATAAGTGTATAATATACTAGTAAAATTAACACATGCAACCTCAAGTGTTTTTGATTTTTTTAACTTTTATTTAATGAACATAAATTTCCAAAGTACAGCTTATGGATTACAATGGCTTCCCCCCTCCATAACTTCCCTCCCACCCACAACCCTCCCCTTTCCCGCTCCCTCTCCCATTCCATTCACATCAAGATTCATTTTCAATTATCTTTATATACAGAAGATCAGTTTAGTATATATTAAGATCTCAACAGTTTGCACCCACACAAAAACACAAAGTGTAAAATACTGTTTGAGTACTAGTTATAGCATTAAATCACAATGTACAGCACATTAAGGACAGGGATCCTACATGAGGAGTAAGTGCACAGTGACTCCTGTTGTTGACTTAACAAATTGACACTCTTGTTTATGGCCTCAGTAATCACCCTAGGCTCTTGTCATGAGCTGCCAAGGCTATGGAAGCCTTTTGAATTCACCGACTCTGATCATATTTAGACAAGGTCGTAGTCAAAGTGGAAGTTCTCTCCTCCCTTCAGAGAAAGGTACCTCCTTCTTTGATGACCTGTTCTTTCCACTGGGATCTCATTCACAGAGATCTTTCATTTAGGTCATTTTTTTTCTGACAGAGTGTCTTGGCTTTCCATGCATGTATAAAGGAAAAAATATATATAAAGCATATATAAAGGAAAAAAAGGTAAAACACTGTGGCAAAATGTTAAATATTAGATCTATATGAAGAGTTTATTAATCATGATTACAATCCCTTTTTCTAACTCTTCTGTATGTTTGAAAGTATGGAGGATTATGTGAAACTACAACTTGGAGAAAATATGAAAAGACTGTTATTCTTCAATTAAGTTTTTCTTTGTAGCAGCTTCCTGGTGATTGCCTTTTTTTTTTTTAAGATTTATTTATTTATTTTGAAAGTCAGAGTTACACAGCCAGAGAAAGAGACGCGGGTGTGTGTGTGTGTGTGTCTTCCATCCACTGGTTCACTCCCCAATTGGCCGCAATGGCCAGAGCTGCACCAATCAGAAGCCAGGAGCCAGGAGCTTCTTCCAGGTCTCCCACATGGGACCAAGTCCTTGGGCCATCTTCTACTGCTTTCCCGGGCCACAGCAGAGAGCTGGATCAGAAATGGAGTAGCCAGGACACGAACCAGTGGCCATATGAGATGCTGGCACTGCATGCAGCAGCTTTACCTGCCAAGTCACAGTGCTGGATTCCCCTGATTGCTTTTTTTCCCCTGCTGATTGCTTTTTAAGAGCACAAGCACTACTCTCTGACTTCAGTGTTTTACCATTCTTCTTTTATAAAGCTAAAGACCATGAAACTGAAATTCTCAAGGAAGAATTTGAAAGAAGCACTTGGTTAAAGCTTCTGTTTTCTTATTACACAGACATAGTCATGCTGGTCCAAATAAGCTTCCTAAAGAACGTTTTCCGAGCAACAGGTCCAGCAAATAGATCTAAACCTTTTTAAGAACTCCTTGAAGAAACTATGCTGCACAGTTCTCCCTCCCAAAAAAAAGGTACATACACCCCAAATTTTGTACATAACTTCACTAGATTCCCCGGCTTGCTTCTAGTCTGTAGTTGAAGCTCAAGAACTTCTACCTGCTCTTTTCTGAGTTACTGAAAATACTAAAGATGAATAAGGCTTTGCGCATATAACTTAAACATGTAAACAAGTCCCGTTAAAATAACAGTTGCTTTTTCTTAAGCTTAAAATTAATGTAAATTTCTTTTATTTGTAAAGCAAAAAGGCAAAACAAAAACAATTTAGGTACATAAAGCCAAATGTAGACTACATTTTCGGTCTGCGTTCTTGTGGTTACTGCTACATGCTCAGAAACGCCAATTCTGAAGCAGAACAAGATGTCCCTAGAAGCTCACAGGGGCGCGGGCACACTCCTGTACCTGCAGCAGCACTCTGACTCCTGCCCTTCCTCTTCGCCTTCTCCTCCCCTGAAACGCAAAGGCACGCTGCCAACAGCGGAGCCACACACCCCCGTAAAGGACTGTGGGTATTGTAGTCCTCGGCATACCGGTGCTACAGAAAGGTGAAGGTAACTTATGGAGGCTACAGAAAACTCAACTGCTTAGTGTACAGAATGTCAATGCCTTCTGATCCTCAGCAAAGAATTAAGTCAACGCTTACTGAGATAAAGTGGGAAGACGTTCCTCGAACTACAATCCCAGTGTGCTTTGCGCCAAAAGCAGCTGTGCGGCAGTCGCGCCTGCGCCCCGTGCAGCCGGTTACTCGGGTCCGGGAGGCTGCAGTCCCTGGCGGATCAGAGACAACAGCAAAGGACGAACAGCCACCGCACCAGGGAAGCAGGGAAGAGATGTGGGTTTTCGGTTACGGGTCCCTGATCTGGAAGGTGGACTTTCCCTATCAGGACAAGCTGGTCGGATACATCACAGACTACAGCAGGCGCTTCTGGCAGGGCAGCACGGACCATCGTGGGGTCCCCGGCAAGGTGAGGCGCCAGCCAGCAACCCCCCGCACTTACTGCCCCAAGCGCGCCCAACTCCTAGTCCCACTGCTGCCTGGGACCCACACCCCAATGCTTCCTGGTGGCCGATCACGTGGGTTGGGGGCTAAGGATATTAGATCTGTGCATCTCCCTCGGCCACCTGCCCCGTTCCTCTCCCCTAAACAAGGGCACTTCTTTCGAAACGACTTAATGTGCTAGGGGTTAGTTTCCTAAGGGAGGCAAAAAAGCGCTGGCACAGAATAAGGCTGATGTCCTGGGAGGGGACCCCAACTCTTGGCAATCTCTGCCAATAAAACCCACTGGCGGGACGAAGCTTTACGTATTACTATGGAGGTGAAATATTAAAATCAACTTGCAAATTAGGCGGTTTAGCAATTACATTTGTTGGTAGACTTGTTGAGTTTTAAACATGCTTGTTATTTCTAGCATTTTAGTGTATCTTTCTGAAAATGTTATTGGATGACACTTAAGATCACAGAAGAACTAGTTTCCAAAATTATCTCAGTTTACTAAGCTCACTCTGATCGCTTTGGTTGTCAGGTATTAGGGAAATCAAATGAAGTTCCTGGTTTGTTACAAGATTAACACAGTAGCCAACTAACATTATTTTAATGTACTTTCTTGAAGGTTCTCAAAAATCATAAATGAAATACAACTTCCTTGATCCATTTTTCAGTCAGTCACACAAAGATACTCATCTTAATTTATGTGGTCCATAAAATTATTAGCAACTCATTGCTTATGCAAATCAACCTTGTACTGGCTACAAAACAATCCCTAAAGAAGCCCAAACTTGGGATAATTAAGCATTTGGATAACTTGTTTTAGCAACTAACTTTTTGAGAAGTATAAAAACTCTTTAATTGCTTGTTTGTTCTCTAAAATACTCAAGATTTACATGAGCTTGAGTACTGTTTTTAGGAAAGAAATTAATATTGGCCCAAAAACACTATCTAAAATGTTAGGAATCAGATGTTGGAAGACATTATGGTTAATTCCAAAGAAACACCTGCAGTCATGGAAAGGGGAAGAGAGAGAAGTGTCTAAAATAGTGTGCAGCTGCTCATAAGAGGATTAAAATGAAAAGAACCTGAGTTAGAAGCCATTCTACCTCAGCTAGAATTGGCTTTAAAATAGTCACTTGCCTGTTAGGATGTGGATGGATGAAATGACTTGAGAAAGGAGGAGTGGCTTGGGACAAATGCATATTTACATGTCAAAAGAAACATCATCCCAATTATCTCCAGGATAGTTATAAAAGGGTATCTAAGATATTAAGGAACAAAGTAAAATGACTTTTGAGTTGTCAGTTTTTGATATGAACACTTAAAATTGCCATTCTGAAGAGAAAACTCTTAGCCCAAGCTCCAGTTTTAATGACTCAGTAGTAACTATTTATAAATGTGGTTATAATAGCATCTTTTACTACTCTAGTCTCAACCAAAACATATAATCTTTGTTATATAGCACACTAAGAAATGCATACTGTCAGAAAGACTGATAAGAAATTAGCTGGTCAATGTGACAGTCCATGATTGTTTAAAAGAAAGGAGCTACAAAAGCCACTACCACTTTGTATTTAAATTTACTGAGATGTCAGAATGGAAAGTTGAGGAGGAAAAACTACACTGACTAACTGTTTTAACCTAACTTTTATTTAAAGAATCCACCCAAGAAAATTAAAGAAAAAAATCTAAGTACTAAACATTTCTAAGTATACCATTCTTTTAAAAAAAATTTACTTCATGATCTTTATTAAGTGGATTCCTAACCTAATATAAATATTAACGGACAAACAAGAATACAATAGGCTACAGAAATACACAATAAATCAGAAGAATGACTCAGATATTACTTAGTGTATTAAAAGACACCTGTGTTTTACCGCAACATATGCCCCTAAGAAATTAGTCATCAGAAATGCCTCATATTAATATACAAATGTTAGGCTCATTTCCACACAGTGCAACTGACATCTGTGGGATGCATGCTGAACCTATTTGCTTTTAGTTTCATTAAATTTTAATTTCTCCTTAGTTCTAATTAAGCATCTCATTTTTATGTCACAGACCAGCAGACTGTCACCAAAAATAAGAATTTTATTTAAATGTGAAAGATTTTTCACACATCAAAAATAGTACAATTTCCAAAAGAAACATTTTAATACAAGAGACAATTATGAACATTCAATAAATTCCTAATGTTTCCAGATCTGAAACATTACTCATAACCCATGAAAATGCCCATGATGGTTCATATTTCACAAAATTCTCCAATCCCATTCAGTGTGAAAGACTCCTTTTTCAGTTTCATTTAAAAAAAAAAACATCCCAATATGTAACTGTCTTTACACATTTACACTGTTTTTTTGTTTTTGTTTTTTTGTTTTTTTTTTGACAGACAGAGTGGACAGTGACAGAGAGAGACAGAGAGAAAGGTCTTCCTTTTGCCGTTGGTTCACCCTCCAATGGCCGCCGCGGCCGGCGCGCCGCAGCCAGCACACCACGCTGATCCGAAGCCAGGAGCCAGGTGCTTCTCCTGGTCTCCCATGGGGTACAAGGCCCAAGCACTTGGGCCATCCTCAACCGCACTCCCTGGCCACAGCAGAGAGCTGGCCTGGAAGAGGGGCAACCGGGACAGAATCCGGCACCCCGACCAGGACTAGAACCCGATGTGCCGGCGCCACTAGGTGGAGGATTAGCCTAGTGAGCCGCGGCGCCGGCCCTACACTGTTTCTAATAACATATTTTAGGGACAAAGAGCTTAAGCTTTTTAGAAAAGATTTCCAAATAAATTTATTAGTAGTGCCAATATTTCACATCTATATTATCCATATGCACAGATTCCAGTTATTTCCCCCTTAAAATAATTCCCTATATACACGTTGTTTTCTGTTCCACATGTCACCACCCAAGTCCAAGACTTCACTATCCTCCCTGTTCCTCTCAACAGTTACTACTGAGCACTTAAGTGGAAGATAACTATGCAAACCAAAATGCTTGGTAAGTGCTAGAAGGGAAATGAAGAAAAGGAGCAAATAAGAATTTAGGGGAAGGATTTGCTAAATCTAGTGAAGACTTTATAGACAGAGAGGTCATATAGCTCGGGAACTCTTACATTCACTAGTTCATTCCCAAATGGCTACAACAGCCAAGGCTGAACCATGCTGAAATCAGGAGCCAGAAAACCCTTCTGTGTCTCTCACATGAAGACGATGGCCCACTGGCTGCTGCTTTTCCAGGCAGATTAGCAGGGAGCTGGATTGGAAGCAGAGCAGCCACGACTCAAACCAGCACTCTGAAATGGGATGCAGGTGTCCCCAGTGGCAGTTTAACCTGATACCCCACAATACCAGTCCCAGGCTTTCAATTTATAAACAAAGATTATTTTTTCCAGTCTTGAAAGTGAGAAAACAAATCAAATTTCTCTGGCTTAATAATTTCTCGTTGCAATCTCAAGTTGAATGACACACAGGCAAGCTTCTTTGCATGTAGCTGTTGACAGTGTTAAAACCAAAATGGAAAAATAAAATTGCCTAGAAGGCAGGTAGTCTAACTTTCCCACATAAAAGGAACTCTATGGAGGTCGGCATTGTGGCATAGTGGATAAAGACACTTGCGATGCCAGCATCTCATATGGGTGCCAGTTTATGTCCTAGCTGCTCTACTTCCAATTCAGCTCCCTCCTAATGGCCTGGGAAAAGCAGTGGAAGATGACCCAAGTACCTGGACCCCTGCCACCCACATGGGAGACCTGGAAGAAGCTCCAGGCTCCTGGCTCCTGGCTCCATCCTGGTGGAGCCTTGGCCATTGTGGCCATTTGGAGAGTGAGCCAGTAGATGTAAGATCCCTCTCTCTCTGCAACTCTTTCAAATAAATAACTACATTTTTTTTTAAATGGAACTATATACTCTAATATTAACCTCTCAATACAGCAATGTAAAGTTCATTTATAAATGTAAAATGAACTAACTTGAATGAGTATCCATTGCCATATATAAATATATAGGAGCACTTTGTAACTCAGAAGTGTAAATCACTCCTCCTTTCATGCTTGAGACCTCTTAGTATATCTGGGTATCAATGATTCTCAAAGTTTGATCCACAAAATAATTTCAGTGGAAGCATATGGGATGTCGTTACAAATGTAAATTCTGAGACAACTCCAAATTTGTAGAATTAGAACCTCTAAAGGGCTTGCCTAGCAATGTGTGTGTACCATGCCCCCCAGATAATTTTGTTCAAAGTTTAAAAAAACACTTCCTTTCAGGAAAATAACCCTCAATAAAACTGTAACAACCTTTTTTATTTATAATCACTGTTTCCATTTGCCTTTCATTTTAGACAAACACTAGTGTGTATTTTTTAATATACCCATTTTCAATGAACATAATATACCTAAGATATACACACTGATGAAAATTTTTTAGAAAGGCTAAGACAGCTTAATAAGGTAGATTCTCTTAATTCACTTTAAACTTTATTAAAGAAATAAGTACTTTAAAAAAGGGAAGTACTTCTTTGAGCAAATGTAGTTAAAATATTCCATGTCAACAGTACGTTGCTAATGCTGTTACTTTAATTTAGAAACTTTAATTCAGAAAAAAATTAAAAGTTTTTTTTTTTTTTTTCTTTTTTTACAACAGCCTGGAAGAGTTGTGACTCTTGTGGAAGATCCTGGGGTATGGTTTTTCATTGTTTTTTTTCATATACTTGATAATATAAAATGCTGAATGTTTCTCAGTTTTATTTATCAGTGAAGTTTTATTAAGAGTTATCACAGACAATTTGAACTGTAGTTATATCTGAACTCTTCTGTAACTGGGATTTTTCATGTTTGTATGTAGAAAAGAGTCCAGTGGGAAAAGTTAGAATGCAGAATGCAAAGCAGCCAACTCATACAACCAAACAGCACGCACTTTTATTTTTGTTCTTTTTGAAACAAATTTGTTAACTGAGAATGTTGTGCTCCCCTTTGACATTAATGGAGATAGCTCTGAGATAGACGACCACTAAAAATCAAGTAGAACCCTTAAAAAGCTATCTGCACATTTGCTAGGAGTCTTGTATTTTCAACAGAAATCTAAGTCACAGAGCTGTCACTTTCTGCATTGCTTAATTTTATCAATTGCCCCTCTGGTTTTTGGTTTTTTTTTGTTTGTTTGTTTGTTTTTGTTTTTGTTTTTGTTTTATTATGGGCCAGTCCCGATATCTTTATTTTGAAAGTTTCAATTGTCAAATATGTCTAAAGTGCATTCTTGCAGCTAATCAATAGCAGCATTTGTTTCGTTTATAAAACCCAAGAAATACTCAGATTTATTTTATTTTATTTTCATTTAAAAGACAGAATTACAGAGAAAGGTGGAGATAGAGAGATCCGTTGGTTCATTCACCAAGTGGCCGCAACAGCCAGTGATGAGCCAATTTGAAGCCAGGAGCCAAGAGCTTCTTCTGGGTCTCCCACGTGGGTGCAGGGGCCCAAGGACTTTAGCCATCTTCTGCTGCTTTCCCAGGTGCATTAGCAGGGATAAGAAGTGGAGCAGGTGGAACTCTAACCGGCCCCCATATGGGATGCAGGTGCAACAGGCCATGGCTTTAACCCACTGTGCCACAGCATCGGCCCCTGCCCCTCTGTTTTTTAACAGGTTTGGAGAACCAGAAAACTTATTTAAGTCATAGTCCTCAGTTCTGTAAATGGTTTTAATCATTTTACCAGGATACACATTGGAAATGTTATATTGTGAAATTAAAGATTTAATAACAAAAGGACTTTGACATACAAAAATCAAGCAGCTAGCAATTGCAGATAAATAATGAACATGGGAAATGTATTCATAGTTTACAATAGGAAAAGCATCTATAAAAATAGCTTTAGATGACAGAGTTGTGGTGAAGTGGGTTAAGTCACTGCCTGCAATGCCAGCATCCCATATGAATGCCTATTTGAATCCCTGGTACTCCACTTCCTATCCAGTTCCCTGCTAATGCACCTGGGAAAGCAGCAGAGGATGGCCCAAGTGCTTGGGCACCTGCACCCACGAGGGAGACCCAGAAGAAGCTCCTGGCTCCTGGCTTAGGCCTGGCCCAGCCCTAGCCATTGCCACCATTTGGAGAGTGAACCAACAGATAGATTTCTCTGTTTCTCTCCCCCTCTCTGTGTAACTCTGCCTTTCAAATAAATAAATCTTTTTTAAAAAAAAGAAAGAAAGAAAGCTTTAAACTGATAACTACAACTCCTAATTAGTTAATAAACAGATAGTATGTTATTTCTATAGAATTTTTGATGACCAAATGAAAACCTGGTATTTTTCATTTCAGTCTCAATAATTAAAAAGACCTAATTTTTAAACTTTTGAAAAATAAGCAGGAATCTGTGCTTATGATACAAAAAATTACTTATTCAGGATGAACATTTTTAAATGCTGATTTTCTTTGTTGTTTTACATGTACCTCTTCAGTGCACCTTAAGTAAAACAAAACCACACTGAATTCTAACACAAGGTATTTTGTTAGTTCACAACATCTTCAACTAAGTAGCCTTGTAAACCCTAAACAGGGTATTCTTTCCCTTTCTCTATAGGGTTGTGTATGGGGCGTTGCATACAAACTGCCAGTAGGAAAAGAAGAAGAAGTAAAAGCATACCTCGACTTCAGAGAGAAAGGAGGCTACAGGACCACAACAGTTAATTTTTATCCAAAAGATCCCACAACAAAACCATTCAGTGTGTTGTTATATATTGGAACGTGTGATAATCCTAATTATCTTGGTCCTGCACCACTGGAAGACATTGCTGAACAAATTTTTAATGCAGCTGGTCCAAGTGGAAGAAATACAGAATATCTTTTTGAACTTGCAAATTCTATGAGGAACCTTGTTCCAGAAGACGCAGATGAGCATCTTTTCTCTTTGGAAAAATTAGTAAAGGAACGCTTGGAAAGAAAACAGAATGTCAACTGCATATAAAGACCTCATCATTGATTTTTCCAAACAATACCTTGTAGTCTTCAGATAATAATTTCAGTGTATAGTGGCAGTATAACTTAGAAATATGTTTATTTGAAGATATTACTTTTAATGTTGTAGTTGGGATATCACCTGAATTTGTAGTTTAACTCAAGTATTTGAAACACTCACAAGGTTGCAATACAGAGAAAAAAATTCATTTTTTAACAATGTAATTTCCTAACTATATGATATTGAACACTTGCTCATTAGAAATGAGTTCTTTAGAAAAAATACATTGAAGGATTCAGATTTAGTTCAGTTCTTGTTTTTATCAGTAAAAATAATTTGTTTCATGTCACAATACCATTTTAAAGTTATAGAGCATCAAAGTCCAATAAATATAATAAAATTATACCTGCAAAATATTCTTGTACAATAATCTTATAACCATGGTTTAAAATAAAATATACTAGCTAGAAATAACATGTAATTAGACGTGTATGATAATACAGACAAGATCTCAGCCTTGATTATGAATTTCCTTGTATTTGGGTATTATATAAGACTCAAATTTAAGCCAAAAGAAAGTGGTTTTTTTTTTTTACACAAAAAATTTCCTTGGAATATAATGTACTGTACCTTTCCTTTTATGTATAAATATATGTTGTTATGTGGGAAAAAAAACTCATTAAACTAATGAGCACAAACTACATTATACAAATCACTTGCATTAATGACTCGGTCTGTCATTCATTTGTATTATTATTACACTAAAACTGGGAGAAAAAAAAAAAAAAGATGTGTTTTCTGACATTACAAATTAACGGAGGGGCCGCCATTGTGGCATAGCAGTTAAAGCCACTACCTGCAATTCCAGCAATATATGTGGGTGCCAGTTCAAGACCCAGCAGCTTGACTTCTGATCCAGCTCCTGCTAATATGCCTGGGAAACCAGTGGGAGATGACCCAACTGCATGTGCCTCTGCACCCACATGGTCGACCAGAAGAAGATCCTGGCTCCTGGCTTCAGCCTGGCCCAACCTGGGCCACTGCAGCCATTTTGGGGAGTGAACCAGCAGATGGGAGATTCTCTTTTTCTTTCTCTAACTGTTTCAAATAAAAAATTTAAAAAAAATTTTTATTTATTCAAGAAGTCTTGGAAAAGTTCGTGGAAAATGTGTATTATGAAGAAACTATATTTGGGAACAAGTGGAGAAGCAGTAAGATGCCACTTGGGATACCTGCACCCTATATAAAGTACCTGAGCTTGAGTCCCACATCCACTTCTGATCCAGCTTCCTGGTACTGTGTAAGGTATCCTGGGACACAGGAGATGATGGCTCAAGTGCTTCAGTCCCAGCCATCCACATGGAAGTCCTGGATGGAGTTCCTAATCCTTGACTTAAGCCCAGTCCAGCCCCACTGTTGCAGGCATTTGGAGAGTTAGTCAGCAGATGGAAGATATCCTAGTATCTCTCTCTCTCTCTCTCTCTCTCTCTCTCTCTAATAAACAAAAATTTAAACTATGCATGGTTTTCAAAAATTTTTGCACCAAAATAAACTTGTCTTCTATTTTCCATTAACTTTTTGAAGTACCATTGTGTAATGAACATTACATGTTTGAAACAAATGTCGAAATTATAATTTTTGCAAAATAAACAGACAGGAAAGTGAAGAGCCAACCAACACAATGGATGAAATTATTTGCAAACTATGCAACTGATAAAGGATTAATAATCAGAATATATAAAGAGTTCAAGAAACTCCACAACAACAAAACAAACAACCCAATTAAAAAATGGGCAAAGAACTTAAACAGACATTTTTCAAAAGAAGAAATCAAAATGGCCAACAGACATATGAAAATATGTTCAGAATCACTAGCTGTCAGAGGAAAGCAAATCCAAACCACAACAAGGTTTCACCTCATCCCAGTTAGAATGGCTTTCATACAGAAATCAAGAAACAACAAATGCTGGCGAGGATGTGGGGGAAAAGGTATCCTAATCCACTGTTGGTGGGAATGTAAACTGGTAAAACCACTATGGAAGACAGTTTGGAGATACCTCAGAAATCTGAATATAGACCTACCATACAACCCAGCCATCCCACTCCTGGGAATTTACCCAAAGGAAATGAAATAAGCAAATGAGAGTTACCTGCACTCTCGTGTTTATTGCAGCTCAAGTCACAATAGCTAAGACAAGGAATCAACCTAAATGCCAGTCAAGTAAAGACTGGATAAAGAAACTATGGGATGTACACTATGGAATACTACACAGCGGTTTAAAAAAATGAAATCCAGTCATTGCAACAAAATGGATCGACCTGGACAACATTATACTTAGTGAAATAAGCTAGTCCGAAGGGGATAAATACCATATGTTCTCTCTGATATGTGATAACTAACAGAGCACCTAAAAGAAAATCTGTAGAAGCAAAATTGACATTTTGAGAAGCAATGACTTGAACAGCCCTTGTCTCGATTGTAAGGGAATAGTTTTTTTTTCTTCTTCTTCATACTATTCATTGAACTTTTTACTTAACACAGAGTTAATCATGTGTATAAAATCAATTGAAATTGATCTTGGTAAAAAATAAGAGTAGGAATAAGAGGGGGAGGAGGAAGTTGTAACTGTAAAGCTGTATAGTTCTGCATACATTCCTACAGACTTACTTTTTTTAATATTTATTTACTGATTTGAAAGTCAGAGTTACACAGAGAGAAAAGGAGAGGCATAGAAAGAGGTCTTCCATCCGATGGTTCACTCCCCAATTGGCTGCAGTGGCCAGAGCTGCACCAATCCAAAGCCAGGAGCCAGGAGCTTCCTCCAGGTCTCCCATGCGGGTGCAGGGACGCAAGGACTTGGGCCATCTTCCACTGCTATCCCAGGCCATAACAGAGAGCTGGATGGGAAGAGGGGCAGCCGGGACTAGAACCGGCGCCCATATGGAATGCCGGCGCTTCAGGCCAGGGCATTTACCAGCTGCGCCACAGCGCCAGCCCCCAGACTTACTTCTAAGGGTACAGTTTAAAAACTTGCCATGGACCCCAAATCCCATTAAGCTGGGTGGTAAAAATGCCATTGTGTTAAAGTGATCATGGCCGGCGCCGCGGCTCACTAGGCTAATCCTCCACCTGCGGTGCCAGCACACCAAGTTCTAGTCCCAGTTGGGGCGCCGGATTCTGTCCCGGTTGCCCCTCTTCCAGGCCAGCTCACTGCTGTGGGCCGGGAGTGCAGTGGAGGATGGCCCAAGTCCTTGGACCCTGCACCCACATGGGAGACCAGGAGAAGCACCTGGCTCCTGGCTTTGGATCAGCGTGGTGTGCCAGCTGCAGCACGCCAGCCACAGCGGCCATTGGGGGTGAACCTACAGGAAAGGAAGACCTTTCTCTCTGTCTCTCTCTCACTGTATAACTCTGCCTGTCAAAAATAAAATAAAATAAAATAAAATCAAGTGTCTGGTAATAATAATAGATAGAATTAAAAAGGAGAGAATTTTCTAACTTGGGAAGCAGTCCACACAGCAGACTCATACAATGCCAGTCACTTTAAATAGCACTCTGACCTCAGAATCAGCCCTTAAGACATGCTGGTCTGGCTGAAAAATTCATAGAGCATTTCATGCATGGAAAGCCAAGACACTTGGCAAAAAAATGTCCTACATGAAGGATCTCTGTGATTGAAACCACAGTGGAAAGAAGTGGCCAAAGAAAGATATACTTTTCTCTGAAGGGAAGAGAAAACTTCCACTTTGCTTATGGTCTTTCGAAATACTAACGAGATTGTGTATTCAAAATGCTTCCATAGCCTTGACAGCTCATGTCAAGAGCCTCCAGTGATCACTGATGTTATACATAAGAGTGTTAACTGTTAAATTAACAACAGAAGTCACTGTGCACTTACTTCCCATGCAAGACCTCTGTCCTCAATGAGTTGTATTATGAAAATTAACTGTAAAACTTGTTCTCAGTTTTGTGTCTGTGTATGTATGTGTGCAAACTGTTGAAATCTTTACTTAATATAGAGTTGGTCTTCTGTGTATAAAGTTAATTGAAAATGAATCTTAATGGATCATGGGACTGGGAATGGGAGAGGGAAGAGGAGGTGGTGTAGGAATGGGGGTGGGAGAGCGGGTATGATGCAAAGAGTCACTATATTCCTAAAGTTGTACTTATGAAATTTGTACTCCTTAAATAAAAGGGTTTTTTTTTTTTCTGGGAAAAAAAGAAGGCACTGGAAGGAAAACAATCTGCACAGGAAATTAAAGAGAAAAGGGCAATTACTACTTACAGCAACCTCTGGAGTAATTACTGCTAATAAAATCAGACTGCACACCAGCTGTTAAGTTAAACAGCTGTCTACATCTTTTCATTGGTTTCTGCCCTTTATACCTCTAAATAATAATAATGACATTTTGGTTAACAACTCAAAGCCTCAACGCTTGGTTCTCATTTCTGACTGAGGAAATTTAATTGGAAAAAATTGCTGCTTTATTTAGCCATATTTTATAACATGGCATAGATATAATTTTATGTGTTCGTATATATTATGTTATTAACCTTTCTTGTATCTCAGTTTACTCATCAGTAGAATTGGAAGGGACCTACTTTTTTAGGGGTATTATGAAGTATAAGCCAATTAAATTAGTTTACATTTATAAAGTGCCTATAATGATACCTGGACACAGCATCTATTAAGTGAGTAAAAGTCATAATAAATCTGAATCTTCATAATAGCTATTATATCTTACTTTTTGCTATTTCCTACATTATTAAAGATAAGAAAACTGACCTCCAGAGAGGTATGCCACAGATCATACTTCTAGCAGGTGTGTCAGAGCCACAATCAAAACCTAAATAGTCTGATTCCTGAGTGCCAAATCCTAACCACCTAAATATCCAGTTTTGCAGAGTCTGCATATAATTATTTATTCAGCCATCCCCTTATTATTAGAAAAATCAGGTATTCAGAATTTTTTCCACTACAGATGAAGCCATAATATCTTTAGACATACATCTTTAGATATCAAGACTTTCATTATTCAAGGAGAGAATCCAAAAGGTAAAATTACTAAGCCAAAAGGTGTGGATATTCTTAATTTTAATAGAAATTGCTAATTTTTAAAAGTTGAAGTCTATCTTGTCCTTTCACTGTATCCAGATTTCCTGTCTTACCAAAAAAAAAGTAATCTCTACTACTATTACATAAATATTCTCCTACTTTCTTCATATAATATGCATCGTTAACTCATCCAGAACTTATTTTATGTGTATGGTATGAGGAATATTTTTGGTCGGTGTTGCAGCTCACTAGGCTAATCCTCTGCCTTGCGGCGCCGGCACACTGGGTTCTAGTCCCGGTCGGGGTGCCGGATTCTGTCCCGGTTGCCCCTCTTCCAGGCCAGCTCTCTGCTGTGGCCAGGGAGTGCAGTAGAGGACGGCCCAAGTGCTTGGGCCCTGCACCCCATGGAAAACCAGGATAAGTACCTGGCTCCTGCCATCGGATCAGCGCTGTGCGCCGGCCGCGGCGGCCATTGGAAGGTGAACCAACAGCAAAGGAAGACCTTTCTCTCTGTCTCTCTCTCTCACTGTCCACTCTGCCTGTCAAAAAAAAAGAAAAAGAAAAGTCACATTGAAGAATGAAGGAGTTACTTATGTTACCCTCCCCTAGTTCCAAAGAACACAAGAGAGAGAAGCAAACTGAATCCCAGTGTCAGGCCCTCTGTGAAAAAA